GTAGGCGGGGGGGCGGGAGGTGGTGGTGCGGGGGGCCAGGGAGGGTTCTGGGGGGGGGGGCGGAGAAGGCCAGGCTCTGAGTGTTTGTAGGGTTGCTAGGTGCCCAGCATTTTTGCCTCCTGGCCAGGGAAAAATTCAGAAAATACTGGACATTTTACGTGTCCAGTATTCTCTGAATTTTTTTTTTTTACACCAGACAGGAGCCGAAAATACCGGACACCTGGCAACCCCACCTGCACAGCATTCCTGGGTAACTAACTTTAGGAGATGTTTCAACATCTTACAGATGAGCAACTAAGAATTAAAATAACTATCTAAGTCTGGGTTGGAACTACAATCAGTTATCACAGCCCAGGATAGCTGGCACTTCATCATGGGGCAGATACCGATAAGCCCCTTATTACCTTAGTCTGAAAAAGCTGAGACACTTCCCACCCCTAAAATGCAGGCCCACAAAATTCAAGCCGTCATGGTACTATCACTAATTCAGCAAGACAGAATTTCCTCAGCTTTCCCTGGCATATACTTCTTATCCAGGGGGCAGTACTCTATTTCTTCCATCTTTCTTCCCAGGATGGGGATATACCAGGCTACTCAAAAGCACCTTGCCTTCCTAGGCAGCTCATTGTGTTACATGATGTTTTCCAAGACCTCTCAAGAAGACTGCCTTCCTAGGACAACCTACTCTCCCTCTAACCTGAAATCCTACAGGGCTCTCCCTTCAATACCTGCCTTTCTGTATAACCTCTCCAATTCAGAATTATCTCATCCAGAAACATCTGTCGTCCAGAATGATTTTAGTTAGCTTGATGCCGACTTTTCACGTGTGTGGCCAAGTTTCCCGTGGTCCTATATAGTTTGCTTACAATCAGCAGTCCTGGCTCTCAAGTGTTCTGTGCTGTTTTTAGCTCTAATTTACCCCTAAATGTCCTTTAATAACAGCCAGTAAGCAGTGGAAGTGTGGGTAATGCTGCTAGATAATATTGACCTCCCATGGTCCAGAACATTCTTTTGTTCAGAACTGGTCAGATGCTGAGGGTGCCGGACTAGAGAGGTTCAACCTATACTTTCTCTCCCTCAACTAAGAGAAGCCAAAACTAGTTTGCCTAACATAGTTGATCCTTGGAAACCAATTAATTTCTAAAAAGAAGTTAGAAAAGCTGAGGAGTACTCACCATACGTGAACATGCGTGGGGAAGTGAGCTCAATATTTGGTAGAGCTCCCAGATGATTCAAGACAGCACATCTATAACCATTTTTCTGAGCATAATCAACAAAAGTGCGGATATACTGCTTCTCGCTGTGATTAGCGATTCCAGGGCAGATGACCATTGTGACATCTTCTGTACATTTAATAAAGGAAGAAAGAAGACAAAGCTCAGGTTCAGGCTGAAGTAACATTTACTAAAGTAGTTTTGGACATTGCAAGTCAATGGAAAAGCTTTGACAGAAGGACAGCTAGAACATGATTTTGCTGCCAAGCAAATGAAGTTAGACTAGTTTGCGTTGAGATAGCAAAATTATAAATGCAAAGAAAATACAAACATGTAACTGTTGTTGGAAATTCTTCCCAGGATGGGGATATACTAGGCTACCCAAAAGCACCAGACCTTCACACAGAATTTCTTGGGCGACTTCATGAAAGTTTGCACCAGTAGTTCTACAGACAACTCATTAGAGGCAAGAATTCTTTACTAACTAGGAACAAGAACTTTTTGGACAATACACATATTACATATTTTCCCCCCAGTGGTAATGTATTGTGATAGCTAATTCTTGGGGAATTCTGAAGTCCGCTGCCACCCCATACTACAGACTAGACAGCATGCCACCAGGAGGGAAATTTTTTCTCTCAGGGTATGTTATTGATACTAAGTCTATGTCCCCTTCAAGCTCAATAGAAGAATCAATTTAGGTTAAAAATTGAAAGTTCTGCTATAAGCAGATACAAAAAAGAGGTTTATTCTCTTTAGTTCTGCTTTCATAAAAGTTAAACAACATAAAGGTAGTAAATACAGAAGTGTGGCTGCTACCACCTCATGTCCCGTAAAACAAGCATCCTGTTATGAAGTAGTTTCCTGCATGTTTCAACATGGTGAGACACCTTTTGATTAGAATAACCTAGACTAAGCAGCCTCCTACAGCAGAAGAATTTATTCTCAGGTAACAACTGAGTGAAATTTCTCAACAACCCAAGATTAAGTGACAAAAGCAATGTCAAACTGCTGGACTAGAGGTCTCTACTTACTTTGAGGGAACCTACATTTACTTATAGTAGCTAAAAGATCTACAGTCAAAAAATTCCCCAAAGTGAACGTGGCCATTATGACACAAAACTCATGACCAACTACTGTCACTATTCAGTTTCTTTGCTCCGCAGCTGATCTTCTGAAAGACAATTAGGCTAAGGGCTTGATGTGCTCCAATGTGGACAAGCTCAATGTTGCACATTGCCAGGGAAGCCAGCTACTGCATTTTTGTACATTGTATGTGAACAAACACAGTAATTGAGGTCACAAGACACTGTCATGCAGTGCCAGTTATTAAACAAGTGTGCTTTATTTCTACATCGTGCTCCACTTACTGCAAAATATTCCCTCCCATTAGCTTCTCTCCAGCTCTACAAATGACCTGGACCAGAATGACAGTAAATGTCTTTGTGTAGCATCCTACCACAAAGTGAGGATCCTATTTGTTTCTAAAGAGAATGTGTTTGAATTGATTAGAAAAGGTGGACTAATCTGTCTGAGGCCCAAGAAGAATGACAGGTTGCAAGTGAAGCCAGTTACTGAGTAGAGTTCACATTAATCTGTTGAACTGGGATTTCACTGAAATATGCTAGTGCCAGTGAGCCAAAAGGTGGAGCTCCCCCTGACAGCATGTTTATAGTCAAATGAAGATATTCATGATTTTTGATTTACTAAGGCAATGGTTTCCTAAATTACAAATATAGTTACCTACTGACATCTGAAACCACCTCGTTTTGTATCCTAAACATGTTTACGTTCTCCTCTTTTGGAGATTGAATCTTGGGTCCAGGATGACTTTGGAACAAAGTTTAAGTTTAACCTGTTTTATGATCAGGTCATGTCCCTCTAGAGTGCTGTAAATACAAAGATTCCCATTTGCTAACCCCACAGACAGCGGGATCTGCACTGACTTTTTACCTGACCTTATCTGGCTTGTGCAGTCTCTAAATTGGGGGTTGGCAACCTATGGCTCACTAAGGAGCCAAACATGGCTCTTCTGAAGCCCCAACTCAGTCCCACAGCAGGGAACCAGCACTGGCGCTACAGCCTCATGGCCTCCAACAAGACTGGAACATCAGTGCCAACTTCCCGGTGAGGGGCGGGGATGAACAGGGAGAGAAAGCCCAGAGCCTCTACACCGGACCTGGAGTGCAGGAAACAAGCAGAGCTAAAAATGGCTCAACACAACAGCGTTTTCCTTCCTCCACAGTGTGCAGGGAAACCAGGAACCAAAGATGGCTCTCTGTACACTACTAATTTGTTTCTCCAGGACAGACTTTCCCGGAGACTTCGCCTGCAAATCCCGCCCAGAGGCTTCCTGCTGGGGAATGAGAGCAGTAGGAAGCATGTTACACAGTGCATGCCATGCAGCGAGAAAACAAGTGCTCCCTCCCCCCCCATGCCCAGACCTTCTTACCTCCTCACTCACCTCCCCTGGCCAGACAGCCTGCCCCTAGCCAAAATTCCCCCTGCCCCCAGCACCTGCTGGCCAGGCAACCAGCCCCCAGCTTGCTCCTGCCCCAGCAATCTGCCTTCTGGCCAGACCTCACCCCCTCCTTCACCCTTCCTCCCACCCAGATCCTGTACTCCCATCCCTATCCCATTCACTGGCAGCCCTGTCCCACACACAACTCCTCATTTTTTGCCTCAACCCAGAGCCTGGGAGGCCCACAAAATTCCCTAACCCTGGAACCACAGAAGAGTAAATCTGGCCTAAGGCCTTGAACCTCAGTCCTCCCCCCAATACAGAGTTGGAGCACCAGCAGAGTGAGGTGTTTCAGTTGGGGGTCACATCAGTGAAGGTTAGGGGAACTGGAAGGGGTATTTTTGTCTCACTTCAGTGGTCCCTGACTGATTTTTCTGTGGGTCAGTGGCCCTGACCCAAAAAAGGTTCCCCACCCCTCCCATAAATAAAGAATGTTGAAACCTTCTATAATATTTTCCTTTATTTAAAAAAAAAAAGATTGGCCTACAAGCCTGCAATTGGGACCAGCTCTCATCTGGCTGCAGCTTTATAACACTCCTGCACTCTCACGCACCCCAACCCGAGCCCATCATACACCTGAACTCCCTGACCTGAGACGCTCATACTAAGGATGTTAAGGACTAGTCTATTAGTTGAGTCGACTAGTCACTCAGATAGAGGCAGCAAAGGGAGTGGGAAAAGGGGTTACTTCAAAGAGGCAGCATGGCATGGAGCCCTGTATGAGCTCCATGCAGTGCTGCCACTTTGAAATGTAGTGGTGGTGTTTCAAAAAGGCAGCACCTCAGAGAGGCCAGGATCAGCTGTGCAGCATTGCCCCCTTTGAAATGCCACCGCAGTGTTTCAAAGCAGCAGCACCACGTGGAGCTCGGGATCAGCTGGAGATTCCCCAGCTGACCCCGGGCTCCATGCAGAATTTCCACAGAACCTGGGGTCAGCCGGGGACTCCACAGCTGATCCCAGGCTTTGCACTCGGCATTTCAAAATGTGCGGAGCCCAGGGTCAGCTGGGGAGTCCCTAGCTGGTTCCATGGAAATGACACACGGAGCCCCAGATCAGCTGTGGAGTCCCCAGCTTATCTCGGTTTCCATGGAAATGCTGTGCAGAGCCCAGGATCAGCTGCGGAGGCCCGAGCTGATCCCGGCTCCGTATGGCATTTCAAAGCGACAGCATCACATGGAGCCTGGGGTCAGCAGGTATCCTGCTGATCCCACGCTCCATACAGGCACTGCCACTTTGAAATGCACAAGAGCCCCCACTAAGGACTCTTGTACATTTCAAAGCTGGCACACCACATGCAGCCCAGGGCCAGTGAGCATCACCAGTGCCCTGCCATAAGACTGACAGAGGACAGCCTGAATGCATTCATGAAGATGGATTTGACTAGATGTGATGTAAATGTCAATGAAATGTGCGAAGAGATGCAGCAGCAGAAGTCCCATTAAGTAAAGTCTGTGAGTACAAGGTTTCATTTATGCTGCTATTAATCATTATGTCAATTATAAGTAATATCAAGTTGTATATTTTCAATCATGCAAATGGGTATTCTTATATGGCTCTTTGTTGACTATTTGTTCTGAATTTTGATGTAGTTTAGCTCTTTGATTTGAAAAGGTTGCCAGTCCCTGCACTAAATGATGGTTCTTCCGCTTGCCATCTAAATAAGTGTTTACAATTCACTGTGACTCAGCAGTTCCTATAGCAGCAGCTAAATGTTTTGGCTTGATCTGTGCACTTTAATGGTTTGTGAGCATTAAAGAAGATTGAGCCACATGCAGGACAATCAAGGCTATTGACCCTCTGGCTAGCTCCAAGCACATCACATAGTATGGAGTTATTCCTAACCTAACATTTTATTTTCTGAAACTTCTTGTTCAATTTAAATGCAATTCCTTCCTATCCTCACCAGGATGTATTACTCTAAAATACAAGCTGTCATATTTAGTGTATCTAAATCTTGGGAATATAGAATATGTCCATTGCCTGCTTCAAGTGCAAATCTGATAGTAATTTATGCATGGCCACCTCCTAAATTTAAACCACAGGCCATAAAGCATGATTTCCCCAAACATCTGTAACTAAACTTCAGAGCAGGGGCCCTAAAAGGTCAATAAACAGATACAGCACAGATTTTGTATGATACAGCCAATTTGAGGGGCTGAGTCCTTATTTCCCTCATCTACTTTGTCAAAGCTAGCCCCAATCTTTCCAGGTTTCTCAAGGATAGCAATGTAACTTTTCCAAATATACTTCAACAAATATTTAGACAAGTCTCTAATCAGACAGATTAAAGCCACACATGCCAACGTGGCTGTTTGACTAACCTCTGATGCAGTGTTCAGTCAGGGGCTCAAAGAGGTCAAAGGTTGATGTTGCTCCATCTGACATTGTGAGGTACTTGCGAAGTCCATAAGGATGTGGTGATCTTACTCGCCCCATCTTCCCATAGAGAGCAGTCTGGATATGTCCACTCTTCCCCCAGATCATGGGTGGAATGTACCTGCAAGGAGAGAAAGAAAGAGAGGATTCAGCAGTGTAGTCTTGAGCTTTTAAGAGTCAATTTGCAATTTCTCTCACACACCAAAGACATTAGCAATGTGGATAAGTGTAAAGTAATGCACATTGGAAAAAAATAACCCCAACTATACATATAATATGAGGGGGACTAATTTAGCTACAACTAATCAGGAAAGAGATTTTGGAGTCATCTGGATATTTCTCTGAAGATATCCACACAGTGTGCAGCGGCAGTCACAAAAGCAAACAGGATGTTAGGAATAATTAAAAAAGGGATAGAGAATAAGATGGAGAATATCCTACTGCCGTTATATAAATCCATGGTATGCCCACATCTTGAATACTGCATACATATGTGGTCTCCTCATCTCAAAAAAGATATACTGGCATTAGAAAAGTTTCAGAGAAGGGCAACTAAAATGATTAGGGGTTTGGAACAGGTCCCATATGAGGAGAGGTTAAAGAGACTGGGACTTTTCAGCTTGGAAAAGAGGAGACTAAGGGGGGATATGATAGAGGTATATAAAATCCTGAGTGGTGTGGAGAAAGTGAATAAGGAAAAGTTATGTACTTGTTCCCATAATATAAGAACTAGGGGCCACCAAATGAAAATAATGGACAGCAGGTTTAAAGAAAATAAAAGGAAGTTCTTCACACAGGGCATAGTCAATCTGCTGTGGAACTCCTTGCCAGAGGAGGTTGTGAAGACAAGGACTTTAACAGACTTCAAAAAGGAGCTAGAAATATATGGAGGTGAAGTCCATCAATACTTATTAGCCAGGATGGGTGGGAATAGTGTCCTTAGCCTCTCTTTAGAGCTCGCTTGACAGCAGAAAGGCCAGGGCCCAGATGCTCCAACACATTAATGTTTTGGTGACAGAACTATGTACAAATGCTATTCCAGAAACTAGACTCTTTTAGTCTACTCATTCAATTATAATGGGGCATTATAGTGTAGATTCAGTGTAGATTAAGGATGTTAAGTAGTATTTATTTCACTAATCGACAGGGCTCACCAGCCACATGGTTCAGCACGCTGCGCATGCGCAGACCACTCTGCACACGTGCTGATCACACTGTGGCGCCATGCTGGGCTAGAATCTACTCGCTCATGGCGAGTAGATTACCTAAATTGTTGAGCCCTGCTAATCAATACATTTTTCCCCAGCTGACCCCAGCCTCCAAGGGGCTCTGCCCCTTTGAAACGCCACCGTGGCATTTCAAAGGGGCAGTGCCGCACAGAGCACTGCACGGAGCCTAGGGTCAGCTGGGGACTCCAGCTGATCCTGGGCTACATGTGGCACTGCCCCTCTGAAATGCTGCAGTGGCGTTTCGAAGGGGCAATGTGACACTGAGCCCAGGGATCAGTTGTGCGGCGCTGCCACTTTGAAGTACCCCCTTCAAAGCTGGGGGTGGAGGGAGAAAGAAGTCAACTATCCTGTCGACTATCCAATAAGCATTTTCTTATTGGATAGTTGACCAGTCCTTAACATCCCTAGTGTAGATCAGATTTTAAGTTACTTAAGTTGCTTAAATCAACTTTAAATTAGTCAAGAATATTAAGACAGTTAGAAATGTGGACCCCCATACTCACTAAGCATGAGCACAAGGCCACATAGCAAGTCAGTTATGCCAATCCAGTTTTTGGACTCTGGGGGATGGCTCTCAGTCCGATACCAAGTCTACTTTATACTACGTGCTTTCCCGATAGGAGGCAAGGGCTCAGTGCTTGTCTATAGCTCTGAGAAGCACAGTGTTAGATAAGTGGCAGGAATTTTATTGGGCCACTCTGCCTCTACTGTCACTAGATAGAACTAAATAAAAAACCCAGAACCACCCAATTCCATTGCAGGGAGCTAAATAAAGCATTTCCTGTCAAAGGCGGAAAGCACATCTGTACTAAGCTTATCTGGAGTGTGCTAGGGCTGGATGCCAGGGCAGATGGCTTTTTATCTCTGATATACTGTTCTTCATGAACCCAAGAAGAAAATGTGGAGATTGGGGGGAAGGGCAAGAAAGGGATGGTTTTATCCCGTTTGCAAACATGCCAACACAACTGGCAAGAATTCAGTTAATGAGAGGCATAAAGCTGCACAGGCATGAAAGGTCAGACATCTTACCACCACACTAGGGTGACAGAGGCTCAGCACATGCCCCAAAGGGAAATGAATACAAATTATCCCTTAACATGAAATGCACAAATATGATTAATCAACTAGCAGGAGAAAATTAATTTCAGGGGACATGGATCAGCAGATATCCCAATTAGGAGCCACGTTCCTTATTATGCAGGTCATGTTACACATAGCAAGTTTAGAAAACAGCTGACAGTCTCCATGGAATCCAAAACAAATTGTGGAGTAACAGCTCTGTGATGTTTCAGGGACTTTTGACATTTACTTCCTCTTTTATTGCCCCAGACAATATGAAGCAAAGTTCTTGTTTCCTTGAGCAGGGGGTGAAGGCTTTGCCAAAAACATGAGCAGAGCTTGGATTCCTCCATTCAACTTCACTGCTTATGCAGCAGGCAATAACCCAATAAAATGAGACCTGAATTAAAGTATTTTATGCCACTACTCTCCTTTACAGCTCTGCTCCCATCCTTTCCCCTCCCTTTCACACCACAGTCTCTTGCTACCATTCTATTTCTGCACTTCAGTTCTGAGTGCCCCCCCAATAAAGTATTTTTAATTGATAAAATATAAATGGGATACATAAGTAAGACACATTCCTATAACTCTGACTGTCTTGCTTGTATGCATCTTCAGATCATCAGAGCTGCTTTATCTCGTCCCCAGCTAACCCCGGGCTCCGTTGAAATGCCGTGGAGACCCCAGGATCATGGGGCTCCATGGCTGCCCCTTTGAATCATTGATGTTCACATATCTTCCCATTAATAGTACTGGGCAATAGTAATATTTAAATGCAAAGCCAGTAGATTTACTCTAAACGCTACTGTGTTAAATTTGGGGAAGAAAATACACTTACATAAAGATTTAATGCCTACTTTAAAGGCAGATCTTGTCAGAACCTTAGCTCACAGTAAGGATGTAAAAGGTTAATTGGTTAAGAGGTTAACGGATAAGCTGATGCTTATTGGTCTCAGTTAACAGTTAAAATCCCACAGGCTGCCAGCATCCCACAGGAGATGGAGGCTGGTGAGATTGGGAGCTGGCAGCCCATGGGACTACAGGCTGATGCAGCTGGGAACCCTAAGGAGCAGGAAGTTGGTGGGGCTGGGAGCAGGCAGCCCACAGGGGCCACGAGCTGCTGGCAGCCCACGAAGCTAGGAGCCAGGAAGTTGGCAGCCCACAGGGCTGCAGTCCGGCAGAGCTCATTTAACCCCATAACTGAATTAAATTTTAACTGGTGACATAGTTAATTGTTAGAGAAAAGAAACTGCTCCCCCAGTAAAAAAGTTTGGCCAGGCCGCTCTTGCTATAGTGGGCTGCAGTACTCCTTGAGAGAAACCGGCCGCACCCTTCCTGCATACCATTGCCTTTAGAAAAAGGAAAGGTGTGAAAAGGGAAAAATAGCCTCAGACTCTCCCACCGGTCACCTTGGCGTGAGAACTGCGGGGCTTACCTGGTCGCATGAAACCTGCAGTTTCGGCCCAACCCCTGGGACACAGACCGCCCCACTTGGTGACCATTGGGCCATATATGGTAATATGCAAGCGTGGGAAAGCGATGTGCAGATTTGGGGATAAATACCCATCGCACAGTTCGCTCTAGTAGGTCTTCCCAACACACGTACCACCGTGCGCATGCCGTCTCGTATACTTCCAAGTGCTGCCAGCCTAATCAACCGACCAGCCACCTCCCCCGACTCTCGGGCGTAACCAAGGCCTTCGCAACCGAACCGATATCTGTGAAATGTTCCATGTGCTGTGTAAGTTGGTATGTATGATTTGATTTTTTCTTGTTGTATAAGCTTAGTGTTGTAGTTGTTTTTGGGTAGTACATAGAGTTTGTAGTTATCACTGTTATTAATTAGTGTAGCTGGATATTTTAAGATTAGAGACTATTCCCCTTGCCGTTCCCATCCTTATATCTCTGACACGTTTAACAAGAAATCATAGAATAAATATAATAAATACTGTAAATTCATTATTAACATGGTCTATTAAAAACCTTAGAATAAATACTATAAAATCACCACTGTAAAAAATAAATATTTTTTATTTGATAAAACTGTTCACCTGGTTCTGTCCTTCCCTCCCTTGGGTATTCATCATCGGACCTGTGATTCTCGCAACATGGCGTCACGAACAGGATGCCCGAGGAAAGACAGAACTAATTTAACCCCGGAAGATTTACTCTTCCGTGCCCAATATCACCAAATCACCAACACAGGTGACAGCATACTGGGACACCTGAGTATCGCTACTGGGGATCAAAAATGGGAGGTACGCCTTGATGTCCCGTCACTGGGTTGCGTCCTCTGCACACACCCCACTAGTTGCTTTTTCCCGTTGCTGGAGGAAAAGCAGGTAAAACTAGCAGGGCTTAAAAAGCCACTAGATCCAGCAGCGACCCCGTCATGCCCTTAAGGCTATGGAGGCCTGCATAAAAAAGGCAGGAGCCTCTGTCTCTCCCTCGACATTCTATCCCGACTTAGAGACTGGGGGCCGAGCACACACCTTAGCCGCCAACGTAGCCGCCACCCTCGTAAACGCGCGAACGCGCCACAAGTTAAAACCTGATACTTATGAACCTCACCACCTTTTAGGAGCACTATACGGCCAGTTCATAACCGCACTGCGCCTAATAGACCAGTACGAAGTTACTGCACGAACAGTCACACAGCAAATGTGCCCCACAAACAGCGCTAGAGCTGGCGGCACACAAAACCCCATTGAGGAACCAAAACCACCTTTACCCGAACCACCCCCCCCATACCCGTCTGCCCCACTCCTGCCCGAAAAATCTCCCGCCCCCGCCGAAGAAGATAACCAGCCCCGGGAGGTTTGCCCCGTGGTGGTCACCAAGCACCTGGTGGACCAACAAGGTAACACCACGACTCAATCCGTCTCCCACACCTGCACTGCGGCAGAAAGGAGGGAATTGGCTGAAGCCACCCATAGACGCCCTGGAGAACCGGTAGTCATTTGGTTGGGGCCAAATGACCCAGAAAATGGTAGTGAAATTGTAGACTAGGAGGAGTGCACCTATTTGGTACGCAACGCCAGTTGGCATGGCGGGGCAGGAAACCCCATCATTGTCCAATGCAATAATGTTTGGCCAATCCCTCTCCCCTCTGATCACCCAGCTCATGGGCACCACGCTAGCCTCATTTAACATCCCTCGTGGAGCTGTAAAGGCTCCGCAAGATCTAATGTATGGCATAGCTGGACTCTCTATAGTTGTTTGGAGTCCTACAAGGCACCCCCTCAACCTGACACCGGCCCAACAGATCGGGGGGCAGCCACATAGATTTGTCAATGACATCTCACAAATCCCGATTGCGGGAATAGCAATAGATGCAGTTTGTGAGGCCACAGGGCATCCAGATGCTGGCCAAATAAGGTGGTTACGCACTTTTGTTGACCAACCATTAACTAGCTTGTACATCATAATAGATCAACGACCTGCAACGCTGGGGCTAGTGTTAAGTCTTAGTGGAGGATAGGTGAGGAGATCCCTCGAAACTGGTATCCAAGCCTTTCCAACACTGGACCATCCAGGAATCCTCGACCTCTCGGACTATAGTTCTCCACTGGATCCAGGGGCGAATGACTCTTCAGTACATTCACTTAGTCCAAAATGGTGGTGGCGGTGATGTAAATGTCCAACTGCCACTATCCCTGGCCTCAGCCTCCAAACGTGGGACTTCTCCACACGCAGGTGGCCCACAGGATAGCTATACAGCTGAGCCCATACTACTACACTCATGATGATGATAAAACTCAACCACTCTCACTCACTCATACATACATAGGCACAGACCGACGGAGTAGACAAATGAACAACTCACTCACAAGTGAACCAAGCAAACGAATGAACCCGAACAGAACAGAGGGGTTTTATTAACATTTGGGCGGGAAAAGATCTATGGGTGTGGAGTGCATAATTTGGTGACGTGTGCATAGATTCCATAGGGTGGTGTGCACTTGTGAAGAGCCATGTGCAACTTTTGTATGGTGTGCAGTTTCTAGGGGGCCAAGTGCACAATATCTGAGAGGAGTGCAAACGAGGATTGAGTGCAAACGCTGGCTTTGGCGGGAAAACTCCTCCCTGCTTTCATGGTCACACAAAATGGAACCCATCAGAGCCTCCATTTTAACTACACTCCCTGACTATAACACTCATACATTTATCCATGGTAACAAATGCAAGCTAAGTTAGTGACTCTGGGCGCCACCTACTGGCCCACCATAATTGGTTAAGCAGACGTAACTAACTGACTTGGGCCAGTTCCGTGGTAACTGAGCCACCATGTGTTTTATCATAGATGCTGTTCATGACCCTACCATCCGGAGAGGGCCAGAAAAGTGTCACCAACACCGTGAAGCTTTGGGCCACTGCATATGCGGTCACCAGCAACCTCACCGATTGCATCGTCTGCACCCGCACCATACTCTCAGCCGCTGACGCGCCGTTTTTAGTCCGGCCCATTTTCCTAAATATGTCGGACCCGCTTAACGGGACCGACTGGGGCTTGGATGCGCGCCGACAGCTGCGCCCGATTTCCCGGGCTCCCACCCTTACCACCCTCTCGATTCACCCCACCTTAGCCCCACCAGGCACGTTCTGTTGGGAGTTCCCTCCCCCAGTGGTAGCTTCATTTCGTTGCCCCGAAGATCCTAAGCACCAGCCTGTTTTTGTTGGTAATCAGTCAGGCTGCACCTGGATCCTTAGTCCGTATGGACTATTTAACAGCTCCGGCAGTAACGTCACTTCTCGGTTTGTTAATGTCCCGGACCACAGTTTCCCACCCAACCTTACTTCCATTGCCTTTATTTCCCCTGAGGAAAACGCCTCATGGGCATATCCCTTTATCTCTGCTAATGCCATATTTAGGGAACTTGTTAACCTCTCTATTTCTTGCATTCGTACGGAAACCAATGGCCACGAATACGGTGACCCGGTTCCCATTCCCTGGTATTGGGGCAATGAGGACGAGTACGACCTCACTACCTTTCTAATGGACCACCAAAAGCCAAACACACCGACTTTTTCGAAGCTCAATGCACTCCGCCCTGGACACTTCTGGATTTGCGACAACCAAGCCCACGCCACCCTTCCTGCACACGCCATAGGACGCTGCACCCTTGGCTACGTCCAAATTGAGGGAGGAGGCATCTATTCCTACGCGAGAGACGAACATCCCCGCTTCACTCATCGACAAAAACGCGGATCTTGGGACATTTGGAAGTCAATTGAGGGCTGGTTTAGTAAAACAGCACAGGCTGTGGTCACATTTAACCCCGTAGGCAATTTGCTTTTGCAAGAGGAAGTTCGAGCCCTTGGCATTAGCATTGAAAGATTTGGCAATAAGACTGCTACTGCCTTACTTCTTACTAATCAAAAGGTAGAAGAAATGCGCGTGTATGTAATGCAAAACCGTTTAGCTTTAGATTATTTGTTGTTAAAGGAATCAGGTTTTTGTCGTTGGTTAGGCAACAGCTACCCTCAGTTTGCAGGTAAATGTTGTATGGAAATTAAATCTATTGAGCAAAATGTAACACAGATTATTGATGATATCGAGGAGGTTGCTAAGTAGGCCAGAGAGTCTGTTTCTTGGTGGGAGAACATATTCGGCTGGGTCCCTTCCATATTTGGCCTTGGGGGATTAAGACAATTTTTCTGGTCCCTTTGTGTCATATTGCTGGCTGTTAGCTTTGTCCTGTGCTTGGTTTGCGGCATTGTTAAAAACTTCACGAACCGCATCTCCGCCCTACCTATCTCCACGCCCGAACAAGAGGGGCTGCTTGCCTTTGAGGAAGCGGAGACGGACGAGGAGGTGGAGGTCTAGGTCTTCCCAGACGCGGCCATGGCCACGGGGGCATGTCAGAGAAAAGAAACTGCCCCCCACCCCCAGTAAAAAAGTTTGGCCAGGCCGCTCTTGTTCTGCAGTACTCCTTGAGAGAAACCGGCCGCACCCTTCCTGCATACCATTGCCTTTAGAAAAAGGAAAGGTGTGAAAAGGGGAAAATAGCCTCAGACTCTCCCACCCGTCACCTTGGCGTGAGAACTGCGGGGCTTACCTGGTCGCATGAAACCTGCAGTTTTGGCCCAACCCCTGAGACAAAGACCCCCCCCCACTTGGTGACCATTGGGCCATATATGGTAATATGCAAGCGCGGGAAAGCGATGTGCAGATTTGGGGAAAAATACCCATCGCACAGTTCGCTCTAGGAGGTCTTTGCAACACACGGACCACCGTGCGTGTGCCTTCTGGTATACTTCAAAGCGCTGCCGGCCTGATCAACCGACCAGCCACCTCCCCCGACTCTCGGGCGTAACCAAGGCCTTCGCAACCGAACCGATATCTGTGAAATGTCCCACGTGCTGTGTAAGTTGGTATGTATGATTTGATTTTTTCTTGTTGTATAAGCTTAGTGTTGTAGTTGTTTTTGGGTAGTACATAGAGTTTGTAGTTATCACTGTTATTAATTAGTGTAGCTGGATATTTTAAGATTAGAGACTATTCCCCTTGCCGTTCCCATCCTTATATCTCTGACACGTTTAACTAGAAATCATAGAATAAATATAATAAATACTGTAAATTCATTATTAACACAGTCTATTAAAAATCTTAGAATAAATACTATAAATTCACCACTGTCATAAATAAATATTTTTTATTTGATAAAACTGTCCACCTGGTTCTGTCCTTCCCCCCTTGGGTATTCATCATCGGACCTGTGATTCTCACGACATTAATGTTTTATATCCCTGCCTCACACATGCTATAGTTCCTCCAGGATACAGTGCCAGAAACACATGACACCTTAATCTTCCAAAAAGATATCCCTCCCATTTGTTAGGAATGACTGATAATATAGTTAGTTCCCAGTAACTGCATGCAGTATGTATTAGGGATGTTAAATGACAGTTAATTGAGTAGTCAATTAACCTTATTAATTCTTATCGGTTAGTCGTCTATTCTATAATTCCTGGGGGTGAAGCTGGCAGCCAGTGCGCTCTGGCCCCACTCTGAAAGAGCCCCTTGCCACTCCACACTGCTGCCTCTGTATCAGAAGCACCAGTGCAGGGTCCCAAGGAGGAGCTTGTCTGCGGGGGGGAGCCAATTTAAAAAACAAGCTCCACTCGCAGACCGCAGACCGGCTGCCTATCCAGAGGTGGGGCTGAGTTCCCAGACCCGGCACAAGCCAGAACTGAGCCGGCTGCCTGCTCGCCTGGCTCCTGATACACTTTAAACGCAGAGCTGCAGTGGGAGTAGGTCCCGGACTAGGCATGAGCCAAGACTGAGCCGGCTGCTGGACAGCCTGCTAAAAAATTTACTGTTGGAAGAGGTGGGCAGAGGGGAAATGCGTGTAGTCTATAGCATTAACCTATAAGATTTGCTTACTGGTTAATCAACTACACCATTACATCCCTAGTATGTATCTACTGCTATCACTCCCACACAACACTGCCCAGAGGACAGGAGCATGAAGAGGAAGAATAAAGTATTAAAGAGTTGATCAGGTGGAGCCTATATCCCCCTCTCAGTGACCACATTTATTTATCAAATAATGAGATTACAACTACTCTGAAAGTTTCCACAGGCCATAATAATTCTGAAGCCCTATAATTTGTGGGAATCTCACTTCCAATTTAAGATGTTGTAGAGACCCAACCAACACAATGAAAAGCCTCATCTTCCTTGGGAAATGCCACCTCCTTTACAAATATGCCAAGAAGGTCCTACTTGAGCAGCCCCTCAGAAATACCCAAGAGCGAGCTATTCCTCCAACTCTCTCAACCTTTAACTCTGAAAGTAGCCTACTGAGATGATCTGAAGCCACACTATTTTCCTGATATTCCTTACTGAGCTACACACTTTTCCAAATTATGTATAAAAGCAGCACTGAAAAATAAACATAGCTATCTTAGCACTGCACATATACATCTTCTACCCCCAAATACTTTCAAGAGCTGCACAGGCAATAGCAGAGACTTTGGAGGTCGGACGACAGATTCAGGAGAAACTGGAGTTTGTTTTCAAAAACACAACTGAAAGTCCAAAAGTTAACTCATTTTTAGTTATCCAGGAGGACATACCCAATATATGGCCACTTTTCTTCATTCTGCTTTAATATCAGGGCGTGGTAATTTATGCTGCTGACTTTATGACAAGAGATTTGAACTCTGTTTATTACTGATATCTAAGTCAAACATGCAGAACTCTAACCTAAAGCAAAGGACATTGAACTGTCCTCCACACCATTCCTAGATATGAACAAGGACCTTTCACGGTTGCTTAGTGACGGTACAATCTCTCTCTCAAGAGCTCAGATCCAGTTTGACATGTTTTGCCATTCTCCTATGCTCACTGCCCTCACACAAGCCCCCTCAGCACAGTGTTGGAAGAGACAGTTGAACCCAAAAACAAAAAAGGAAAGCATTGTACCAAGACACATCATTCCTGCAACTGTACATTCCAAGAAGGCATAAAAATAGATCCCAACTGAAAAAACAAGTGCTTCTACAAGAGACAAAACAGAGGACAGAAGACTTAATTGCTTTGTTTACAAAATAACTGTTAACCTTGTAACCATGCAAATTATCCCTTGGTGTATTTTAGAGATTTATCATACAATCAGAAACTTCTAAAAGAAGCTACAAAACAACTAACTGCATTTTTTAAAATCAGACATCCATCTCTACTGTAGGAGAGGCACAATGGAGTGGCAGCACCCCTAGACTTTTTAGCAACTATGCACATAAGAGAAGACTTAGTCTTAAGTCCTAAGACCATGGGTGGGGACGGAATCTGAGTAATCGGAACAGCTGGCCAAGAAATATGGAAGTAAATGAAAATGTGTTTGAGTTTTACTGTACTATCCCATTTTATATTGCCACACGTTACTTCCTAAACTAAGGATGTGTCAGATGGTAGTACACAAGCTGTATGCAATTCCACATCAATGATATCAAATTTAAACAGTTACATGACTATTCAATAGTCCCCAGAGGAGGGGCCAGCAGCCAATGTGCTCCTGGCCCCACTCCCAGGGACCCTCCTGCCAACCTGCGCTGCTGCCTCCGTATCAGAGGCAGCAGTGCAGGGTGACAAGCAGGAACCGGTCCACAAGGGGAGACTGTTTAAAAGCCTCATGGCTCCTGGCCCCAACCCTGCAAGACGGGACAGCATGCAGCTGCTGGAGTAACGGAGAGGGAGGGAAGAGGCAGGGGGAGCTGAGGGAGGGGCTGTGGGACACAGAGTGATGTGATGACATCACTCTGTCATCCCCTGGGAAAAATTTTTTAATATATATATAGAGAGATTATGTCATCAAAAGGACAGATACTTTTAGGAGAGAAGTTTTATTAAGGCTACATTTCCATTCTAAGAAGAGACTGAAATTTGCTGCTGCCAGGAAAAGGAAGTGGGTTCTCAATGGAACTACTTTCCACATCTTCATCAGCATTTTGCTCCCTTATAAATTTTTGATTTCTCCACACTCAGTAACAGTTAGAACTCCAGGCTCATCAGTCTAGCAGACACATGTATTAACACATACTCATTTTCCTATAACTCCACCCTAACATTTACTTGGTTTTAAGAGCTGACTACAGAGGCACAAGATTTTCTTGGACAAAATTTTATCCAAATAAATTTTAAAACGGAAAGAGCAAAAATAGAGCTATATACTATAGAGCTGTACTCTATAGGGATGTAAAGGGTTAGCTGATTACCCAGTTATGCGGTAAGCATTGCCTTACCAACATGCTTACCAGGGTAATAAGCACCTGGCCTGGCCAGAGCAGTCCAATCAGGCCCACCACGTTGTGAGGACTCCAGGCTGGACGAGCCTACCACGCTACACCACAGGCAGGGAGGGGTGCTCCAGCCCAGCTGGGCCAGAACAGCCCTCCGCCTGCAGTGTGATGCAGTAGACCGATTTTACATCTCTAATACTATACTGGCCAACAGTACTAAATTCTGGAAAATAATCTTTGATGTTAGGTGCCACCAACATAGCCTTACAGTTTAGTAGTAACTTGTTTGTCTAACTTTGATATGGCCCCTATGTTACCTATGAGGCCAACCAACACTACTCTGCTTGAGGTAAACAAAGATATTGAGTTCCTGAAGAGACTAGGCATATTAAAATGTAGGTAAATTGGCTATCCACGTAACCACTAAAAATGTTCAGTGGTTACATGGTTACACACACCTGCAGCACAGGTTGGCAGCCAGCTCCGTGGGAACCAGTTTAAAAGCCCACCCCTGGCATGCACCGGTTCTTGCTTGCTTCTTTCCTCCTGTAGAGCCGGCTGGTGCCCCATGCTGCTGCCTCTGATACAGTTTAGGTCAAATTAACCTAATGCAGGGCAACAGCCAGCTCCATGATGCTGATATATGCTAGGAGTTGGCTTTGAAGCTAGTTCCCGGTGAGTACTGGCTTCCGTCTGCCACCCAGCTCCTCAGGAGCCAGCTGCTGCCCTGGTACAGAGGCAGTAGTGTAGGGCGACAGCCAGCTCCCTGGGAGCTGTACCAGGAGTCACATGTAAGCGATAAGCAAGCTTATCAGTTACTCATTTAAAAAGCTACACACTTACATCCCTAGAAAAGACTAATGGATATCCTACTCCATGAATATCTGATCCCACTTTTTTCTGTGGCACTAAAGTTCCCTAATAGAGTGATTCCAAGTCATCCTGCATTATTTGCAAGAGGAAATAATTTTGCTTATACCTACCTCCTCACCACCCTACTCATGGAAAGAGTAAGGTCAGCTTTAAGCAGCAAGTTACTGTATAATGCAGGGTGGTAAGAAAGGGGAGTGTTGAAGTAATTTTTTGTTGTATGGAAGAAAAAAAAATTGTTCCCTTAGCAACTATGTGGTGTCCAGTTGCTGACAAGACTGTTCAGAGCTGCCTTCTTAATGAGAAATCTAAGACACCAGCAAGCTCCATTTTCACTTCT